GAGACTATCCTGGCTAACATGGTGAAACCCCATCTCTACTAAAAATACAAAAAACTAGCCGGACATGGTGGCGGGCGCCTGTAGTCTCAGCTACTTGGGAGGCTGAGGCGGGAGAATGGCGTGAACCCGGGAGGCGGAGCTTGCAGTGAGCCGAGATCATGCCACTGCACTCCAGTCTGGGAGACACAGCGAGACCCCGTCTCAAAAAAAAAAAAAGAAAAACTAGAAACCCCAAAGTGACTGCTTACCTGTGTCTCTAGTGGAACTGGTTCTTCCTTGGTAAGGGTGGGAGGTTCATCAGCCACTTCCGAGGAGGGTAGGGAGGGCTCTGAAAAGGCAGCAGGGTCGGCCTGAGGGCAGGGGTCCCCTGAGGCCTGGACCTGGGGGAGCTTCCTTAGAGCTGTGTGGAGGTGGCTTGGTGAGGAGGGGAGAATACTGGCCTGAGAAGCAAACATTCATTCAGGGCCCAGCTGGACCAGGTCACAGTCATGAATGGTGGAAGGGCAAAATACTGCTAGACTGCAGAGGGCCATCTCTGCTGGGCTGGAGATATCTGGAACCCACAAATCCGCTCATCTTGTCATCCTCCAGCCCAAACATTATGATTCTAACTCAATCTCCCAGTTTTCTGAGAGTTGCTATGAGGACTAGATGAAGTAATAAACACAGGAGCTAAGAACAGTGCATGCCAAATAGTAAGAACACAATAAATATTAACTACAATTGGCATTTCCCACGGAGAAACAAGTTCCATTTTGTAGTTGGCTGTTAACGGGTCACAGCACAGGAAAGCTAACAAGGGCCTAAGACACATCTATATATCCATATTATAACAAGAAACCTGGGTTGGGCATGGCAGCTCACACCTATAATCCCAGCTACTCTGGAGGCTGAGGTGGGAGGATCGCTTGAGCCCAGGAGTTCAAGACCAGCCTGGGCAACACAGTGAGACCCCATTTCTACAAAAAATTAAAAGATAGCCAGGCATGGTGGCACAGGCCTACAATCCTACTACTAGGGAGTCTGAGGCAAGAGGATCACTTGACCCCAGGAGTTCAAGACTACAGTGAGCTATAGGATTCAGCCACTGCATTCTAGCCTAGGCAACAGAGCAGGACCCTATCTCTTTTAAAAAAAAAAAAAAAAAAGGAAAGGAAAAAAATTTAGCAGGATGTGATGCAGACAGCAAAAATGCTGAAGACAGAAGGACAAGTGACATTCATTCCAACAGTTACTAGACGGCCATGTGATCTTAGACAA